ATGATATGCTACCTTCCCACTTCTGTCACTCTGTCTTGTGGTAGGTTCTTCCAACTCACACAAACCACCAGTATCTTCCAGGTCTTCCTAGTTATTCACATACATATTCATATATGTATGAATTGTCTTTCTCATATGTATATTTATGTGAGATATGGCAAGATTTCTCTTCAAACAGCCTGCTCAGCTTCTTATTCTCTAATTCCAAATTACCACCCCTCTTTCTTCTCCGTTACTTCTTTCTGATTTTACTACATGCCCAGGCATGCCACAGCCCCAGCTCACATTTCTTTCCTTGTTTGGGAATGGACTGGCACTCTAGTCCTCTGTAGATGACCCCTTTCTCCTCTCCCCTCTCTCCCATCATGAGCCCACCTTATCTAAGAAAGTTTAAATATTTAGCCAATCGAGTCCAGTTTAGATTGTGCCATCTGACCCCAACCAATGGGGAAAGGACACAGGGGCAGGAGTCGCCTCAGGAATAAAAGCTTCTACTCTCCTTTGTTCGGTGTGCTCTCGTGGCAACCAGACCTACAAGAAGCATCCTTCTGCACAGAAGTAAATTTGCTTTGCTGAAAAATCCTTTATTTGCTCATTTTTCCTTAAGACTCCGAGCTTTATTTCTAACAATTTATGTATCTCTATATGCATATATATCTATATATATACTAATAGCTAACATCTATCAAGTGCTCACTCTGCTTGTCAAACATTGTTCCAAGCACTCTACATGCATAATTCCTTATCATCCTCACTGCAACCCAGTGATGTAATTGCTGTTGTTATTTCCATTTTACAGATTAGGAAACTGAGGGGTTAGAAGGCTACATGACTTGCCCAAGACCTTAGAAGGAGTACAGGTAGAGCTGGATTCCAGGCTTTGTCTGACTCTGCTCTCTTAATAATCGCAATCACATCTAAAAAAGCATCTAGAAGGTATGTACCAAATTGTTAAATAATTACCAAATGAAGTTGGGGTTATAGGGCAACCTGCACTTCATATTTTTTTCTATTTTGTTTAGATTTCTAGCAATATCAATATTACATCTTAACTGGAAAACATGTTTTCAAATTACCATCAATTATGTCATTTTCTTATGACATAATTGATGCATGTTGTGATGTACTACTACTGCCATGTGCTAGACTTTGTACTGTATGCGAGAATAAAAATGATGTGGTTTCTGTCCTCAAAGTGCTCACTGTCCAAATTCTATTACATTACCCAGAGGACTTTTTTAGTAACCCCAGCCCTCCTTTCATTCTTATCTTCTGGTTTGTCCTATCCATATGCCTAATGCTCTTGACATGATGGAGAACTTGACATTCCCAAGATGTATTATTCACTTTTAGGCCCCTGAGCCTTTGCTCATGAAGTTCCATATTCTGTAGAATGAGTAGGAGTTCTTCCAGAAGAAATTCCAGAAGAACTCTTCTTCCAGAAGAACTCTTCTTCCAGAAGAACTCCTACTCATGCTTGAAAGCTACTGCCATGGTGAAGTCTTTTCACAAACTTCTAATCTTGAAAAGTTTTAAATATGTATTCCGTACAGTCACGAGCATAGTTCAAATAAGTAGCACTGAAGTACTAAAAAAGAAAAGCAAGAGTCCCTACCTCAGCCCACCCCAACCCCAACATCAACCTCAATCTCAATCTCATTGCCATTCTCCAAACTCTTAATGGTTTCTGCTTTTAGATTTCTGGTGGTGATCTCCATGTTTCCAAAATAACATGCTATCTTATTATTTCTGGGTATATCATCTTAGGCCCTATCTACCTAACTTTTCCTAACAGAAATGAAGATTTAACTCACATACACACTGGTCTTATCTCCTCCCTAAACTCCTAACAGAGATACCTCTCTATACACAGCCCTGCACTGCTTTATCCTCTGTACACCCAGACCATTTTGTCCTGTTAACCACAGAGAATATCTTCTGACTGTCAGTTCCCAAAATGAGAACCTTAGTACCCCACCCTTCTCTCTACACCCTGCTCCTGCTCCTACCCCTTTCTACCTATTGATGTTTACCCTGCACATTAAAAAAATTAGTCATACTTACATTTTCTTTTATAGTCATAATTCTTCTTTGACTTGTTTATAAGGTGAATCTAAAAACAGAAAACCAATAGGCAGCATTTCTGTGACTATGTGAATATTGTTGCCTGTAATCTTGTGGAGGGCTTGATTATGCTTCCTGCTCTGGGTCATTTGGACAACATTCAGATTTCAGATTTAAATGGGATCTCCTGTTTGAGACACCACTAGTAGCTCAAAATCAATCCATTTTAGGTACATCACACTTGCATCAGGCCTTTCCTGGACATTTTCTCCCTTGAAGATCCTAGTTTTAATTTTAACTTTATATTTTAGATGGAAATAATTTAACAATTTTTTTTTTCTTTGCATTCTGTCACCCTCTAACAACCTTAAGGGCTTCCAAGTTCCTAGTCATGCTTTCGATTGTATTGAACCCTATTTTTCCCTCCAGTCTTCCTACTGCAATCAGGATGGGTTTCTTCCTAGCCTCGACACTGCTGCCATTCTGGGACCTCTCCTGTTTATCTGGGTTGGAGCCACTTTTCTTTGGGTCCCACACAGTGAGGTGTCCTTGGCTCCCACATCTTTCTCAGGATAATTAAATAACTCACCTTACTGAACTCCCACAGTACTCCATTTGCCTAATAGGGTAGCACTTTATGTTGTTATTTCCTTATCCTCCAGGGAAGGACTGTGTCTTATTCATCCTTGAAATGGTACCTGACATACAGCTGGCCCTCACCTCAATAAACACTATTCAAATTAAACAAAAACACTGAGCACATGGCAAGGCACAGTGGCTCACACCTGTAATCCCGGCACTTTGAGAGGCTGAGGCAGGAAGATCGCTTGAGCCTAGGAGTTCAAGACCAACCTGGGCAACATAGTGAGACACTGTCTCTACAAAAAATAAAAATAAAATTTTAGCCAGGTGTGGTGATATGTGTCTGTGATCCTAGTTACTTGGGAAGCTGCGGTAGGAGGATTGCTTGAGCCTGGGAGGTAAAGGTGGCAGTGAGCTGTGATCACGCCACTGCACTTCAGCCTGGGTGACAGAGTGAGACCATGTCTCCAGAAAAAAAAAAAAAAAAAAAAAGGAAATTGAGCACATTATTACAATTTAATATCTTGATTGAAGGGAAGAGCCAAGTCATCGGTTTCACTCATATTAAAGAGGAAATAGGTACTGTTATGTTGATGGGAAATGAGAGGAGGAATTAAATGTAGGAAATAGAATAACAAAGAACCAACTTACAAAAAACTAAAACAACCCATATCAGACTCACTTTATAATCTGTATGTCTGTGTTGACTTATCCTCTTGGAATGTGAGGAATATTCTTTATTAATTTTACTTACTGAGTTGCCAGATATAATACAGGAAGCCCAGTTATCTGAATTTCAGATAAACAACAAATAAATTTTTAGTATATGTACCAAATATTGCATGGGGCATATTTATACTAAAATACTATTTATTGTCTATCTGAAATTCAAATTTCACCAAGTGTTCTGCATTTTTATTTGCTAAATCTGGGCACTCTTCACCAGGCATCTTCTCAGGGCACTAAACTATCAAATGCCAACCGATGTGGGGCTGCTCATAGAACATGACCTAATGACAATGGGAGATAACATTTGCTGGCAATGAGAGAAGTGAATAAAATGTTGTATACTTGTTTTCAGGAGCTGTTCTCAAAGCTTACCACCTTTTTAGTGTGGGGTTAGGTGTTCAACTTCAACTTTGTCTTCATCTTTGTCTTAAGGTCAAAGGAAGATATTAGAGATCTCTTTGGTAGGGCATAATGTATCCTTTTAGATTGATATCTGTGGGCCATTTGTTTTACAGGGGTTTAGTCCAGGAAGTACAAGACAATGTCATTAAGTGGATAGAGTTTCATTTAAATTAAAAAAAAAAAATCTATTGTTAGGTTTAAATGAGTCACTGCTTCATTAAGCATCAACATTAGGTAACACATATTGAATGAATGTTTCCCATAGGCCAAGCTCTGTCCTAAGCATTTCACATGTATTCGCACTTCATGCTCACAAACTGCCTCTGACTGACTGATTTTGATTTTCTTGATTTTACGGATGAGGGGACTGAGAAGCAGAGATGATGAACTTCCCCAAGGTCACGCCACTCGTAAGTGGGAGAAACAAGCTAAAATTCAGGCCGTCTTACTCCAGAGTACTCAAAATCAAAATAAACCAAATTTCACCTCCACTTCCGGCAACTAATCAAAAACCAAAACACGATTTAAAAATATAAAATTTTAATAACACCCCACATAAATTTCCAACTACTTTACCTAAGTTTCTAACTGAAGTTTTAAATGAGTGTGTTTTTAAATTTACTAGAAAGTGGATTGAAGAGAAAGCATTGGAAAATGAAGGAAGGCGTTTCAGTTAAACCCCAAATAACTGTTAAACTGAGCCATAAAACGGCTCCTTCTAGCTCCATTTGTCCTCAGACTATAAGTGCTATTCCTGATTGCCCTTCATTGTCATTTCCAGGGAGAAATGACACCAGCACAGTGGCAGGCCTTCCAATCTGGAGCACGGTCCACACAGCTTCCGAATTGGTGTTCAGTGTACAATGCACCGGAGTGCGGAAAATGCGCAGGGCGTTGCCAATTATAGATGCTCGGAGTAATTCAGTGTATTCAGAGATCATGGGGAAAAAAGCAAAACCAGACTGATTGTGGGGCGAATTCAGCAGGGAGTAAATCTGATTCGCATCAGTTCTGCGGCCCGGAGTTGGCGAGCACGGCACCACCCAGGCATTGCTGCACTCTGCCCGCAGCGGGCTGTTAACTGCGGGTCCAGGTGCGGGCCCTGGCCCTGGGGAGGATGCTGGGTGCGCTCGAGCATGCTCGCGTCGGGAGCCGCAGCTGCTAGTGGGAGGCCGGGGCCACACACGCTCCTCCCCGGTACCTCCTCCAGCATCGCCCGGGGAGGAGAGGGTCCGGGACAAAAGGCCGCGCGGAGCGGACTCGGGACACAGCCGGCGCGCAGCCCACCCGCCCGCCGCCTGCCGGAGCTGCTCCGCCCGCAGCCACCGGGACCGCCGCCGGTCAGAGGCTCGCAGTGCTGGCAGCGAGAAGCAGTCGGGTTTGGAGCGCTTGGGTCGCGTTGGTGCGCGGTGCAACGCGCCCAGGGACCCCGGTTCCCGCGAGCGGCTCCGCGCCGCGCCTGGGTGAGGAGGGGTCCCGGGGGCGAGGCGGGAGTGGGAGGAAGGCACGGTCGCCGCGCTGGAGGCCGGGACCCCGGAGCGGCGACCGGTTGGGGTGGGCTAGCTGAGCCGCACCCGCTCTGCTGGCCGGTCCTGGGCTCACAGTCCCTGCAGCCCTCGGAAACGGCGCTAGGATCCCCGCGGGGAGCGGGGGAGGGTGCCCGGATTCGACACCAGTTCTTCCAAACCTTTTCCCGAAAGGAAAGGAAACAACTCTAAGAGCTCAGAGCTAGTGGGGAGAATCAGGTCAGGGGAACAGGGAGCACACGGAGTTTTCTTTTCTTTTCTTTTTTTGGTGGAGTCTCACTTTGTCGCCAGGCTGGAGTGCAGAGGCGCGATCTCGGCTCACTGCAATCTCTGTCTCCCGGGTTCAAGCGATTCTACTGCCTCAGCCTCCGGAGTAGCTGGGACTACTGGCGCGCCCTATCACGCTCGGCTAATTTTTTGGTATTTTTAGTGGAGACGGGGTTTAGCCGTGTTAGCCAGGATGGTCTCGATCTTCTGACCTCGTGATTCGCCCGCCTCTGCCTCTCAAAGTGTTGGGATTACAGGCTTGAGCCACCACGCGCGCTCCGGAGTTTTCTTATCTGTAGATCTCCTACAGGGACAATCTCTCTCTATCTCTCTCTCTCTCTCTCTCTCTCTCTCACACACACACACACACACACACACACACACACACACACACACACACACCCCACTACACACCTCTCACTCTGCCTCCTCTCTCTCTCCTCCCGCGCTCTCTCTCACTCTCCCTTTGAGGAGTATTGCGTCTTTTGGAGCCCAGTTATGAGTGACTGCTGTAGGAACAAAACAAAGCACTCTTTGTTCTGCCTGGAGCATCCTTCTGCCGGCCAGGTAAGATCACAGCTGTTTCACCAAGTCAAGGGAGAGGCTCATTTTCAAAACATTAAGCAAAATCAGAAAACAGGGAACACTGTCTTCCTCCTCATCTCTTGGAGCTTGTAAGAGAAATTTCTGTCACCGAAAACGAAAAGTTCGGGCTTTTATTCATGCCTGTGGTTCTTGGGATTGCTGCAGGGGTGATGAGGGAGGAGGAGAGGTGCCTGTGGTTCATAAATGGCAGCTTGCCACCTTTAAAAGGCACACGGATTCAGATTTGGGAAGGATGTGTTAACAAATCGGGCTTGCACAATTTCCTTTGATCCAAATGAGAATGCTGAGCTGGGAGACTGGTATATGGGTAGGAGCTGGAAAATGTATCCCCTGAGGTGTTGGCAATCCCAAGAGGCTCAGCACCAAACCTTGAGCTTACATTGAATTCAGAGATCTGAGCATTAAGCACTGGCCTGATCAAGAAGAAGCAGATGGCCTTCTGGTCACGAGGCACTGGTGAGCTTCCATCACCCAGGCGGATTCCCTCAGAGAGGAATTCTGCTGGCCCTGCAGAAAGCCGTGAGACAGCCCACCACCTTGGCATTTTCCAGCAGGCCTGCTTCAGCTCCTTGCACTTGGGCACTGAAAGGGCTTTCCCTTCCCCAGATATTTGTGCAGCAGAAGCTGCAGCTGGCCATGTGGTGATGTCTCAATGTCTTTCTTCATTGAACTGTGCCCTTCATACCCAAGGCTGGCACCATAGTCTGTCACTACCTGTACAGCCAGCGAGACTGAAGGAGTTGCAGCGTTAGGAGTGTTGTGAATCTGGTTTGGGCACTCATTTTACAGTTGAGAAATCCTTTCTGAGGTGTGGAAGGGCTTGCTTAGCACTGCAGGACTTTTCCCTCAAACAGAGCCTGGCACAGCTGGGTCCTCATTTCCTCTGCATTGCATCTCTGTGCCCTTTGCGCTTTTGTCGCGAGGAACATACATGGGCCTAAACACATTCCCTCACCCTCACCTTTACACATGAATACGATTTTCCACCCTCTTTGAAGCTCTGTCAGCACAGAACATTAAGAAAAGTACTAACTAGGTACCTGAGCAGCTGGAGTGGGAGCACCTGGGAAGGTCAGTTTAGGAGTCCCCTTTATCTTCCTTTTCCTGATACCCAAGAAGATGGCTCTTTCCTGGAAAGGAAGGCGGTTATTGTATTATTTACACTCTGATTCCTCTTAAGCCTAATTTTTTTTTTCAAGATCCATGATAATAAGCCTGACTGATGTCTCAAGACGTTGAGAAATTTCCATAAAATAAAAGCATTGAAGAGAAAGCACTGAGTGAAGAGAAATTGAAGGGGAACATTTAATTCTAAAATCATATTGTTCCAGAATATGATTCTGGGTTCTTACTGCCTTTCTTTATGACGCCAGTCACCTGTTAGACATATTGTGTGCCCTTACTGTCATTTTGCTCAATTTTATGGGCGTGACTCATAACACTAATAGAAACAGGCTAATACATACAAATATGTAGGTTTTTTGTTGTTAAAGAAACTTGACAGTTGAGGAGAAATAAACAGTCTATTGTAAGAGTAGATGCTCATTGAATTAAGTGGGCTAGTTGATTCCTAGTAGAAGTTGTATTCATTTATTCATTTCAAAAAAATATTTTTTATCAGATCCTAAGTGCCATGTGCTGAGCACAGAGCAGTTAGTAAGATACATATGCTCTCTGCTCTCATTGTGCTCACATTCTAGAATTGAGGGATGAACAAAGTGAATTCATATAGTGAGAAGAAAAGCAAGCAGAGTGCTGCAGGATAGTGGTGTGTGTGTGTGTGTGTGTGTGTATGTGTGTGTTGGACATATGGGAGGTGCCCAGCTTCTTGGATTGGATTGTGAGGAGAGACTTCTCTGCAAGAAGGCCTTGAGATGAAACCTCAGGAAGATGGGCAGACATTCCCGTAGAGAGAACCACAAGCACTAAACATCCTGGTCCTGGGAACAGGTATGATGTGCTGGAGGCACTGTTGAAAGGCCATTGTGGCTGGAGTTAGGTGAGGGAGAAGGAGAGTTGGAGGAGTGAGCTTTAGGGGCTGGAGCCAGATCAGGAAGAGCCTCATAGGCCAAGGGAAACATTTGGATTTTACTCTAAGTACAAAGAGAAGCCAAAAGAGAGTTTGGAGCAGAGGTGTGACATAATCGATTTCCATTATAAAGAGATGACTCTGGGTGCTATGTGGAGAGTGGATTATAGGGGAAGGAGAGGGGACAGGAGGACAGCGGCGAGTTTACTGATGGAGGGTGGTAGCAGTAGATGGGCATAGGCTATTTTTTATACTTACAGTGGGAAGTTAATGTTTCTCCGTCTCAAATTTCCCGTCTACAAAATGGGAATGACATTGCTATACCTGGTCCACTTGTAAAAGCTAATAAACAAATGAATATGCCCTGAAGTGTAGTGTAACGCATTATTACCATTATTTTTATTTTTTATTTTTTATTTTTTTATTTTTATTTTTTATTGTACCCTAGAACTTAAAGTATAATAATAATAAATAATTATTACCATTTTTATTTGCTAATATCGTATTACTTTGAATTCCCTGTGCTTTATTTTAAAATTTGTTTTAATAAATTTCGTTGTCTTATATTCTTTTCAATAAACCTAATTTATTATACATAAAAGTATTTTTCTCTGTTCAGAGAATTGGAAACTCTTAACTGGGAGTTACCAATAAAGACAAGTCGTCACAGAATGTAGGGAAATTATTGCTAAAATAATAGCTGGCTTAATTTCAAAAGTTGAATATGCTCAGATGAAAATTCAAAAATGGAATAATTAAAGCTGGGAATGGGCAAAAAATATTTTGGACCGATTTGCCTTTGTCCTGGCTATGGCCATGCAGATATCTGTGAGTGCAAAGATTTGTAGATAACTGAAAATATCTGTATGGCAGCAGAATTTCTGGAGAAGGCTGTGGACCAGAGTTGAGTAGGGTTGTTTCCCTTAGTGAAGCATTCCTCAGAAGAAGCTCTTGAATTTTCTCTCGTTGATAACTAAGTTTTAGAGAGTCAGGAAGTTTTAAAGTTGTTTATCAACTAGGATAGCGATATTCTTCACAGAGACAGGACAACCAACTGCCACAACGAGGCAACTCTGTTTCTTTCTTGACTCACTTTGATGTGCAAGTTTCTAGAAGGAGATATGCCTGCTTAAAGGAAACCAAGCCCTTCCTCATTTATATTGTGGGCAGTGGAAATGTCAGCTCATGACTTAATAGTCCCTAGGTCATGTTAACTTGCCAGATCCCCTTAATTATTTATTGGTCAGTGTGTCTGAATTTCAGCCTGAAGTGGCTAGTCTGGTGATTCGAATTGCAGACAAAATGTGATAGTAATTCTGAGATCTGTATGATTTATCTCTTGCCATATCTACCACCATATTTCTCTTAGGACTGGGGAGTGGGGGTGTTTGGGTATCTTAAAGGGAGAAGTTATATCTCTCCTTGAAGCCAGAAATCTATTTGTTTCACTCATGTTTAGAAATGTTGAATTAGTTGCTCCTTTAAAAATCAGTGGAAATTACATACAAATGTAATTTTCCAGCTTTTCTTGGAAACAATCAGAGGATCTAGTGACATGGAGCTGCCATTCCTACATGGAAGCAATTAACTGGAATAGAGTGGTAGTTGCCTTCTTTGGATGATCCAGTTTGCCACAGTCCACGCCAGTCCTTATTCTATTGCATGGACCTGTTTGATTCATTTAAATTACCTGTCTGGCCCTTGTAGACTTTTGATTTTTAACTTCAGGTTTAGGGCAATCAAGTGCGGCCTGTCTATTACACTTTCACCCTCATCTAATGCAGGAATCTATATTCCGGTACCCCTGTTGGTCGTCCCCAGACCTGTACTTTAACTGCTCCTCTGATAAAGAAGATAATGCTAATTGTTGAAAAGCTCCTGTTGATGGAGCTGTACAGTCTGGGCCCACATAGAACATGTTTAGGACCCTTGCACAGGACTGTGGCTGTCACATGCCATCTTGGTTTTCCCCATTAAAAGTAAACATTCCTCATTCCTTCAACAGCTCCTCATGTGACTTGCTGCCTTGTTCCCT